GAGTCTCGTTCTGTGGCCCAGGCAGGAGTGCAGTGGTGCGATCTCAGCTCACTGCAAACTCCACCTCCTGGATTCAAGCAATTCTCCTGCCTCAGCCTCCCGAGTAGCTGGTACTACAGGCATGTGCCACCACGCCCAGCTATTATTATTATTATTTTTTAGTAGAAATCGGGTTTTACCATGTTGGCCAGGATGGTCTCCATCTCCTGACTTTGTGATCCGCTCACCTCCGCCTCCAGCCTGAGCCACCACGCCTAGCCCCCAGTCTCACATTTTATGGCCCATAAGTTCACAGATCGTTTCATATTCATTTATTAAGCGTTTATTAATAAACACTTCACCCCTTAGGTACTATGCTAGGAGGTGCCTGAGTTACATTTACATCACAAAAGAGAACAGACAGCTTCCAGCCCTCACGGCCCTTACAAATGAGTGAGAGAGATGGACAATAAGCTCAAGGGCATTTAGTGCTGTAATGGAGGCAGCACTTCCAGGATGCTGTAGGAGGCACAGAGGAGGAGCAGCCAATTCTGATTTAGGAGATTATGGAAGCCTTCTTGGAGGAACTGATGTTGAGACTGAGAGCGGAGGGATGAGTGGAAGTTGGCTAGGTCATAGGAGTGAGGGGTGGGGCAGCAGGGAGGAGAATTTCAGGCTGAGAACAGGATGCACCTTCTCTGGGGCATATATTTGACAACTAAGGTAAACATCTAATTATTATTTTTGTTTTTAGAATGACCTGTTCAGTGTTTATAATCTCCTAGCACATCTATGCCAAACAGAGCTAAGAGGTACCCTGGACCAGGGTTTTCAAAAATAGCTGCTAGTTCTTCAATTCTGGAAGGTTTGCAAAATTCTGAGGTGACTTTTATTCTTAAGTGTTATTTAATATTTTTAAAGTAAAAATTTTTATATTAGAACAGTTTTAGATTGCTATTTAATTTTTAAGTTTAAATTTCAAACTAACTTCAAACTTACAGAAAAGTTGCAAGAATAATACAAAAGAAAATCCCCTCAAAAGTCCCATATATTTTTAACGACTTTACCTGTTGTTAGTATTTTGCATCATTTGTTTTAATTATTTATAATCTGTCTACCAATATACATCCACGCCCTCCTTCCTCCTCCTCCTCATCTCCTAATTATTATTTTTATTATTCTTGCCAAACCGTTTGACATATCATTTTACTCCTAAATACTTTAGCAGGTATCTGATAGAAACAAGGACATTATCTTGCAGAATCCCCGTAAAATGATCAAGTTCGGAAAAACTAACATTGATACTATCCTACTATCTAACATCGAGTCTATATTTGAATTTCACCAGTTATCCCAATAATGCTCTTTACATTTTCGTGGTTAGAGATCCAGTCCAGAATCACACATTGCCTTTAATTGTGATGTGCCTCAGCCTCTTTGTCTTTCACACCATTGATATTTTTGAAAAGTGCAGATCAACTGTTTTGTAGGATGCCCCTTAATGTGAGTTTGTTTGATGTTTCTTCATGAGTAGATTCCATTTATGTATTTTTAGAAGGTAAGTGATACGTGTGTTTTTCAGGAGATCACATCAGGAAGCTCATGGTGTCTGTGTATCTCATGATTGGGGATATAAACTTTTATTTGTTTTATATTTAGTATATTTTAAGCTGTAACAAACACATGCATATCCAAATGTGTTTCTATTCAAGTTTTATCACAAAGAACATTCATAATGAGCTAATCTGCTCTAGGTTATCTTGATTGAATGCAGACCTCAGTATTCAGTCTCTCCTGCCAGCTCTGCATATACCTGAACTTTGCTTAAGTGTGTCATTGATTAATAAGGTTGTAACTGCACATTGGCCTGAGAAATGCTGAATGTAGACTTGTACAAGTAACAAATGACTGCCTAGTTATATGAATCAGAATTTCCTTGACACTGTACAATGAAAACAACATACAAAAGTAAATTGGAATCCTGAGGCTAATTTAATAGTGAGCCCCACAGAACAGATTCAGGTTCATCAAAAGAGCATCAGTGCCTAATTTTATACTGATTTTGACTTATACAAGAAATTAATAAAATACCCTTTGCATATGTTATATGGTGTTTTATATGGTGGGTTCCTAAATGAGGAATTTAGGAACCCAACATGTAAAAAGTAAGGGATCCTTGTTAAAATAAGGATCTCTCACTTTGGCCATTAGGAAACCACATTGTATCTCACCATTGCTCCTACCCACTGTATAGTTTCTGCAACACTCTCATCATCTGCAGGCCTCGATATATCTTTTCCTGGTACCTGGGATTTTGCCCTAATTTTTAACACCCCCAGGGCTCAGGGAACACACATATATAATTTACCAATAGGTCTTAGGGTGTGGTCCCTGGATGCTCCAAAGTGCACACAGTTTGAGATTTCTTTCTTTCCTTTTTGAAGTTCAGTTCTGCTTATGTTAAAACATGCCAATACGAACATTAGGAATACAGCCATACCCTAGGCAATAACCTACTTAGCCACTGACTGACACCTCCACGAATGACCCAACCATAGGACAGTCCTACCTTATTCCAGAGCCTTTATTCCACGAATGAGGACACTGTGATCCAGAGAGGTGGATCTCCTTCTTCTGAAAGAGAGCTGCTAATAGTAGTCAGATGCAGCCCAGCTCTGCTGGTGCCAGGGGTTGGTATGGTTTTCTGATAGCAGAGGCAGTCCCCTCAGGAGGTGACCAAGACACTTTCCTTTCTCTTGGCAAGTGTGGGTGGCTGGCAGCTGAGGCAGGCCCTGGGCAAGGTCCTTCAGTCTGGTTTACTCATCTAAACTCAGCCAGAGTTGAAGCCCAGCCAGATCCTAGGAGGCCTCTAGATTTCCTAGTAGATTTTGTAATAGAAGATGGTCCTAACAGAAACACAGGACTGAATAAGTATAGATACTTTAGAAAGTAATTTGTTAAAAAAAAAAATAGCTGGCCATGGTGTCATATACCTGTAGTCCTAGTTACTCAGGAGGCTAGGCTGGAGGATTGCTTCAGCCCAGGAGTTCGAGGTTGCAGTGAGCTGTGATCGCACTATTACACTCCAGCCTGGGTGACAGAGGGAGACTCTGTCTCTAGAAAAAGAAAAAAAAGAAAGTCATTTATAGTATATTTTCTTTGGAAAAATACATTCTAAGTTCAAAAAGAATTTTCCAAGCTCAACCAATATATCAATAAATTTGAGACCACTTGCAACTCACTCCATTCCATTGAACCAGCATGGATTTTATATTTATATATGCAAGGTGGTACAATAGCTATTTGGTGGATGCCAAAAGGACGGTCCTGTGCTCAAGACATCTGCAATAATCCTGGAGAGATGATACATAGATATATTTAAAACTTAATCATCATATAAGGTAATGTCTGATGAAATGCTCGGATCAGCGAAAGAGAAAGTGGACCACTGGATAATAGAGGTCGTCAGACGTGGTTGAACGCTGCGGCTCCTAAGTCAAATGACCTGCGTGAAACCGCAGCTGCTCCACTTCCTAGTCGTGTGGCAGGTTTCTCAAAGTTCTTTAAGGCGTTGAGAACAGCTCTAGGCGTTTTTGGTGCCCCCAAAATGTTAGCCATTATTATTACCTCTCAGTCTGTACTTGGACCACCACTTCAAGAAGGGTCAGGATGAGAGTGGAGAGGCGCGAGTGGGTTTTGCAGGAGGGTGACAGAATCATAATGAATTAATGAATTATCCTCGCAAAAGCTCTGCAAACTGCTTTTCTAACTTTGCTGGCAGCTATCAAGCGGGGGCGGCAGGCGGCCATCCTTTCGGCCGCCTGAGATCCCAGCGCCTGTCCCCAGGGGGCGCTGCCGCCCCGCCGCCGCCGCCGCCGCTGCCCTGCCCAGCGCGCGCCTCCGCCGTCCACCCGCGCGTGCGCGCCGCCCAGGTGAGGAGGCGGTGGCCTGGGCCACGGCGGGGGCGGGGGCGGGCTCCTCGGCGCGCCGGGCGGGGCGGAGTCGGGAGGCCCGGGCGGGGCGGGCCGGGGCCGGAGGCGGGACCAGCCGCCGCCGTCTCCGTCTCGGTGTCCCGGCCTCAACAGCTCCCGGCAGCCGCGGCGGGAGGAGCGGAAACTGTCGGGTGCGTCCCGTCCGGAGCCGAGCCGGCCGAGAAGGCGCCGAGGAGCAGCGGGGCGGCCTCCGTCCCGCCCGGACCCGCCAAGCGGCGCGCGCGCCCTCTCCCCTCAGCCTCGCGGCGCAGCCTTGCCCCAGCCCCTCCCGAGCTCATCGCGGGCCCCCTGAACGGCTCCGGCGGCCCTAGTGCGCCCACCTGAGCCCCAGCGCCGGCGCCATGGCGGAGCAGGAGAGCCTGGAGTTCGGCAAGGCGGACTTCGTGCTGATGGACACCGTCTCCATGCCCGAATTCATGGCCAACCTCAGGCTCAGGTGAGGGTGGAGCGGCCACGCGCAGGAGCGCGAGGCTGCGCTTTCCCAAGAGAGGGCGCCTCGGGGCGCGGCCGGATCCGGGGTATCGGGGCGCCGGAGCTCCGGAGCTCCGGAGATGGAGCGCGGCCGGGCTGCGGTGTCCGGGGGTCCGCCGAGCTCTGCGGCTGCGGTTTCCCGAGCGCGGACGCCGCCGGGGTGCGGCCGCTTTGGGGTGCGGGGGGCGTGCCGAGCTCGAGGGCCGCGCTTCCCTGAGAGGGGAGCCCTGGGCGCTGTCCGGGGTGTGGGTGCAGGGGGTGTGCCGCGCGGGAGGGCGCGCTTCCCAGAGCCAGGTGAGGGAGGTGGGCGGGCCGGTGACCTCATGGAAACTGAAGGGAAATAACTTGAGCGAGAGTTGCGGTGGCCCTGAAGGCCCTAGGAGGACTGGAGGGTTATTTTGGAGAGAGGCTGGCGTCTCATCCCGACTTTACACTTGCTGCTTTTCTTTCTTTCCTTGCCCTTCTTTTTTTCCTCTCCTGGCGTAGTTCCATCCTGTCATTCAGGATGCTATGGAGTGATCCCTGAGCTGTCTGTTCTGGGACCCTGGCTATTTTTTTAGTTACTCCCTAAACGTAATTAGACACGTTTCCAGACATCGAAGAGACTGCTGTACTTGCCAGTGCCAAGATAAACTGTCTGAATTTGACAAGGCGTTCATGGTTTTGGTTTTTTTCAAGGAGCTATGGATGGAACCCTTGTGTTACTGACATCCTTGAGAGTGCAGTCACAACTCAGCGCCCCAAAATGGGCTTCCAAGATGTGGGTTTGTTTTAGAAAGCCCGTTACATGCAGTTATTTCACCCTTGATAGAGTAATATGTAAACAGTTTTAAAGTAGTTTAACTAAAACATTAGAGTAAGTAGAGTTTCAAAATAGCTGAGAGAGAGAGAGAGAGAGAGAGAGAGAGAGAGAGAGTTTCCCTGCAAGCTTTGGCTTCATTTCTTCTAAGGTTTATAACTAAACATCACTCCTTAAACTTACAAAGTGAAAATCATAATCTTGGCTTGGGTGCTTAATCCTACTTTCAGTATTAACTACCCTTGTCAGCAGGGGTCAATCAGATTTTATTACATACCAGCATAATGATAGGATGTTACATTTCTGATCAAGGTTTGGATGCATAGCTGTTATAGAAATCATCTCAAATATTAATCAAGATGACATACCTCTGTATCAGCTATAATCAATACCCACTGTCATAGTGATTAAGAGTCAGACTGTTGAGATTCAAATCCTAGTTCTACCACATTCTTGTTGTGATCTTTGAGCAACTTACTTGGCCTCTCTGTGCCTCAGTCTTCTTGTCTGTAGGATTGGGGTTGTCCTGAGGGTTAAACGAATTATTAATAATATGTGTATGTAACTTTAAAGATTAGTGCCTGGCAAATCCATATGAGCGAAACGGTTTAAATTTTCCCAAGTGCACATAAAGCAGATAAAGGGGTAAGTTATACAGCAATTTCATAGATTAAGGTTTTAAATTATTTAAGAGATTCTACTGCCCCCAGGAAATAAATTGTGTACTTTGAGAAATGGCTTTATAATTTTGTCACTCTCACCTTATAATCCTTTCAGTTTTTCAGACATTGGTACATTTATTATGCACATACTGTATATAAGACACCGTAGTAGTAGTTGAATGTGGAGCCATTCATTTTAACCTCCGTCACCTCCAGCAAATACATGACCTTAGCCAGAGCTTTTGAAGAATTTTGAGAATTTGAAATTGAAGGCATAGAGTCTAACTACGTTAGGTTGTAATGTACATTAGTTTATACACTAGTCTGTAGTTTGCTCCTCTTCTTAGATTTAACTCGTGGTTTTTCAAAAAAGTAAGTTGAGGGAGGGAACTTAGAATTTCTGCTTTTTTAAAAAGCGTTAAATCTCTAAGTGTGAGGTTTGAATTTCAAGGTAGATTACTAAGGTGAGCCTAACAACTCTTTTGTGTACCAAAGAGAATACTGTGATTTATTTATTTATTTTTATTTTTTAGAGATGGAGTCTTGCTATGTTGACCAGACTCATCTTGAACTCCTGGCCTCAAGCAATCCTCCCATCTCAGCCTCCCAAAGCACTATATTTATAGGCATGAGCCACCACGCCCAGCCAAATGCTGCTATTTAATTCTACTGTTTGCAGGGTACTCTAGGAGATAAGGTAGGAAGATCCGAAGAACTACAAGATGTGCTGCTTACCTCTCAAAGGGGTGGCATCTCAATGAAGACATGGAGAAAGGTGGAGTTTTTTTATTGGTTTAAAGAATAGTTCAAGGAAACATCAGGAGGCTGAGATAGGAGGATTGCCCGAGCTCAGGAGTTCAAAGCTGCTGTGAGTTATGATCACACCTCTTTACTCCGGCCTGTATAATAGAGCAAGACCCTGTCCCTTAGCAGAAAAAGAAGAAAGAAAGAGAAACAGAAAGAACATAGACAGAGAGGAAGCCAGGCAGGCAAGAAAGAAAGAAAAGAAAGGAAGAGAAAGAAAGGGAAAGAGAGAAAGAAAAAGGAAAGGAAGGGGAGGGGAGAAAAGAAAGAAAAAGGAAGAAAGGAAGGAAGGAGGGTGGGAGGGGAGGGAAGGAAGAAGGGAAGGAAGGAAAAGAGAGAGAAAGAAAAGAAAAGAAACGAGATAAGCCTTATAAAGCTTAGGTGATTATTTGCCAAGTAATTGTAGAAATTGTTCTGAAAGTTCAGAAGAGAGAGATTCCTTAGGTTGATTCCAAAACACCTTATAGAGGAAGAGAGGAGTTGAGCTGAGTTCCAAAGGATGGGTAGGATTTGTAAAGGTGGACACGTGGCTGGAGAGCATTCCAGGTGGATTAAGCAGCATGAGCAGGGGTTGATGGCGTGAAAGCTGACTCTGGGTGACAGTGGGTAAGCTAAGTTGTTTGGAGGGGAAGGGGTTGGTATTGTGGAGATGTGGAGGAATCACCAGCTGTCTGCATGACCACTGTCTAATGCCCAGAATTTGAGGCCTACCTTTACACTCAATCTCTATGTCATTCAAGATTCTGGATATACAGATGTATCTATTTGTGCGTGTCTCATCTGTGTGTTCTTGATGACTCTGAGAATTGGCTGTGGTTTTCATTGTACAGATCAGTGATTGTTCATGACTTACTTACTTAGAGTAGTTGGTTCCCTGTAACCATAAACACAATGCCAGCAAAGAGTAGCAGCACCCTTGCCCTCCTTTCAAGCTGTAAATTCTGACTCAGACAGAAAGCAGTCCTCTCTTTGCAGAAGGTGACCAGAAATCCACAACTGCATAATCCAGATGGTATTATGTGATGTTGAAGTGTTTTTGTCTCCTGGAATATCAGTTTTTGGGCACATATTTGTGATTGTACATAGCTGAAATTGAGCGTGTTTGGTCCACTGGTGGATATGGATGTGTGAGTGAAATTCCCATGCGTGCTTGTACCTCTCGTGACTCCTGCCCTCCCAAGCTGCAGTTTCTGCTCGTATTCCCCATTATGGAATGTCCTGTCGTCTGCTTCCCACCTGGCTCTTCTGCAAGGCCTACTTCCTTCCTTTAAGGTGTGTAATAGACAGTC